AAAGGAAAGGAAGAGATAATGACAAGATACCAAGCCAGAGAAGTAGGCCATTGGGGACCTGGGGCCCTCCCTGCTATAAGGATTTACATAGCATTCTTAAAGCACTGGAGAATCACAGAAAGGTTTTAAAGACTTGGTTCTCAGAAAGATTTCTCCAAGTAGCAGTGATGAATGATGCCAACTTCTGCAGGACACCCTCACCACCAGGGTCAGAGGCAAAAGAACAAACATAGTGTCAGTCTGACCTCATGGAGTTCCAGTTCATACTTGTGAGGTCAGCCTGCTCTCGATTCCCCCACTTCACATTGATCTTCTCTTCCTGAGCACTTGCCCTGTGGACTTCAGGCTTTTATCAGATAGAGGCAGCCTTACGGAATCCTGTTTATCCAGTCGCCACAATAAGGGGTGTGTCATTGCCTAAGCCAATCCCATGTAATACCTCCTCTGATTGACTCCTGATACAGTCCTGAGGGAGGGACACCTGTTGGAGGTGGTGCAGCTGCAGAGACAGAAGTGACAGAGAGGAAGGGGTGGATCTCAGATGTAGAAAAGAAAGACCTGATGACCCATCAGGAATGGCAGTGAGGAAGAGGGCCAGATCCAGAATATCCCCAGAGGCTTCAGGCTCTATGACTGGGCTGCAGAGCTGAGTTGCTATCAAAGGAATGGAGCCAATTTGGGAAGGGAAGAGATGGAGAATCGGGTTTGGGACTGTTAAATTTGAAAGGTTGACAGATCTGTAAGTGAAGATTTATAATAGATGCTGGAATTATGGACCTGAAGCTTAAAGGGGATGAGTAGATCATCATCAATACCACATGGAGGCTAAGGCCACGACAGTGATGAGCTCGCTCTGGGAGGCAGGTAAGGTAATAAGATAACTATCAAGGTGAAACTCTGAAAAAATTAATATTTAAGGGACAAGCAGAGGAAAAATGAGCTTAAAAAAAAAAAACAGAAAAAAAGTCAGAGATTGAAAGGCTACACAGGAGAAAGTCAGGTTTCATGGATGAGAAAGGATTGAATTAAAAAAAGGAAAGGAGTGTTAGATGACCCCAGAACTTGAACAAAGATAAAAAGCTAAACATGAGTCTATTGGCTTCAGCACCCCATAGGTCCCAGGTGGCCTTTGTTAAAAATAGTTTCAGTGGAGCAGTGGAGATAAAAACCAAATTGCAGTTAAAGGAAAAAGGAGACCACTTAGGTTAAGGCCAGGTTGAAAGAGTGCAAAATTTATAGTTTTAAAATTAGAGTAAAACAAACATAATACCGCACCAAATGACATGATATAATGAATCCTAGTATGAATTAAGCCTGATAGTATTTTCCATCCTCATTTCTGAACATGGTAAGGGCTGTGGCTAGTGAGCCTATTCAACTAAAAAAAAATGTTTTAACTCCATTGATATAATTTGTTACTAACCTCAAACTTATCCTAACTTCTGTAATCTTATGTGTACATATAAGAAAATAACAAAAAATATATATTTTTATTGATTTCAGAGAGGAAGGGAGAGGAAGAGAGATAGAAACATCTATAATAATAAAAGCATAATATGCTAATTAGACCAGACAGTTGAACAACCTTCCGAACATGGATGTTCTTCTGGACAAAGTCATGACGGGCTGAGGCAGCGGGTACTGAGGCAGAGGAGCTTAAGGGAGATGAGGCAGGCAGACAGAGTGATTAGGGATTATCAGGCAGGGAGGGAGGTCAGTGGTTAGAAGCCCACGGTTCTGGATTTTGAGAGGGATGTCTGACTGCCAGTTTAGGTTCGATCCCACAGGAATCGGCAGTCAGACATCCCCTTGAGGGGCCCCAGATTGTGAGAGGGTGCAGGCCGGCCAGGCTGAGCCTCCTAACCACAACCCCATGCACGAATTTTGTGCACTGGGCCTCTAGTCAATGATGAGAATCATCTATCAGCTGCCTCTTGCATGCCCCCTAGTGGAGGCCATCCTAGTTAGGGAAGATGAGTGAGTGGGGTAGGGTGGGGCAACAGCTTGAGAGAAGAGAAAAACATCTAATCTAAGCTAGAGAGAAGGAAGCAACAACTGGCAACTTTGGAGAGTTACTGGAGGGAAGTGGAGGGAAGTTTTACTTGGAAACACTTTATTTGGAAACTGGGAGTTTCAGTCAATTGAGAGTCAAGATGTAAGAGTGTGATCAAGGACTTGAGAAAAGCAAATGTGTGGATTAGCCATTGTATGTCATGGGAAATAAAGTAAAAATTAGGAGTATGTGGGTGGGTAACCTCATGGTACCATCTGAGATAGAAAACAACATTTGTCAGGGTATCAACATACTTGCTAAAGGAAGCCCTTCAACTGGACAGGGCAGGCTATAAACAGGAATGGAAAGGTCCACCTGAAGTTTGGCACTGGAAAAGCATGTGGTACAGAGGGCAGAGGTAGAGAATGCTTGTGTGATTATCAATGAAATCACTGACTGAGACCTGGGGCTCACAAATAAGGAGGTGAAACCAGGAGGGGTCTGACAGGTGGACTAATACATAAAAATAGAGAGGATGAAGCTCTGAGTGAGGCCGGACAACCAGTTTAACCTGATCCAGGGTAACTGAGAGGTGGATGAAAAGGTGAATAAGGACAGAGTATATTTATCATCAGGATGTATTTATCATCAGGATGAAGTCAACTGCTCTGTGAGGGTGTGACAATGGGAACAAGGGGTGGCAGAAACAGTAGAGGAGGCAATGTGGGGGAGAGAGATTGGGAGGGGGACCATGAGGTGTTGAAGTTGGCTGAGGCTAGAGAGGAGAGACAATAAAGCTATTGGTTAATGTGGGGTAGTCCCTGAGGCTGTCAGAGTCTTAATGATAAGATGGAAATGGGCGTCCCAATTGCAGAAGAAAATGAACATTTTAGGGATGGTGGTAAAATATCCTAAAAGTCAATGCAGAGATAGGAGTTGTGTCAATACTAGAAAAAATTAACAAAAAAGGATTATTTGTGAAATTAATTTTATATTATCCTAACATCCATCAACTATTGGAGGAGGAGGAGGAGGAAGAAGAGGAGGAGGAGGAGGAAGAGGAGGAGGAGGAAGAGGAGGAGGAAGGGGAAAAGAATGAGGAGTAGTAGTAGTAGTAGGAGGAGGAGGAGGAGGAGGAGGGGAGGGAAGATGATATCTTTTGAATCTCTGGATCTAGATGGGCCTTAGGTAGGACTCCTCCATTTGAATTCTCAGTACATATTCTCCTTTTTACTAAGCTACTTTGGGTAGGGAATCTATCACTCACTCTTCATGGAAAATATTGTGACTAATACTCCCTTACAGCCAAACCTGTGTGTACAAGGTTGGACAGAAGGTGAGTCTCTTTTAGCACTAGTTGAAATGGGACTCTTCAGGATCTAAGTCAAGTTCCAGTGAAGAACTAGAATTCTTAGCAGAGTTGCTCAAATCTCATTCCAGTTCTTCACTAAATATCTCTCCTGGCATCTTGCCCCATCATTTCCTTTATTTCTTCTCCCACCTATTTCTATATTTTGCCCTAAATAGTCTCAAAACTCTTTGTTAAAAAGAAGTCTTTTTTTCCACCCAATTATCCTTTGAAATTAGACCTTATTTCTCCCACCCTTTGCCATCAAACTACTTGAAAGAGAATATATATGCCCCTCCATGTCCTTATCATAGACATACCACCAATCAACCCTCTGCAACTAGACTTTTACACCCATCCTACTAGTAAAACTGCATTTGCCAGTGGTTACCATGACCTCCAAGAAGGTCAACTAACCATGGCCTTTTCTCAGTCCCCATTTCATTGATCTTTTTGCAGCATTTAATCCAGATGACCATTCTGTCCTTGTCTTCCTTGACTGCTAAGATACCTAGTGTTTTTCCCACCTTCCTGGACATTCCTTCTGGAATATTGGCAACACCTCTAGGCAAGAGTGATAAGGTGAGGGTCAATGTTTGATTCAGTCTTCTTGGTTCAAGTGAAGCTACTAACTGGTTGTTAGTCCTGCCCTTTAAAATTCCATATGAAAGGGCCCATCTTTTAGGTCACTCAGAAAAAAATGAAATTGTCTAGGCACCATTCTATAATGGGAATTGTTTATCCCTTTATGTTATCCAACTACTTTAATGGTGCGTACAAATGTCCACTGAATTTACCTGTCCACATACCCCTTCTCTAGTCATACTATAAATAAAGCTTTCACTTAAAGCCTTAAAATAGATTGGTTGGAAAGACCAATCCTGCATCGTAACATGAAGTGTGTATGGTACAATCAACAGTAATTTTTAAAGTAAATAATAAGCAGTGTAATTAAATTTCATACCTGTGTTAATTGTCAATCTCGCCTTACCTTGGTATTGGGGAAAACAATGGTTGGTTTGTCTATACAAAGTTAAGGCACTTGGTCTTTGTTTAGCCATATTTTTTTACCTTTATGAAATGAAAATAATTATTTTCTTATAAGGAAAGGGAATATCTTATGATATTTTAGCAGATTCTAGTTTCACTTTTTCCTGTGTTTAGTAATACAGCATATTTTTGTTCTATTTTGTCTCTATTTTTATTTTGCTTTTGCTTAAGGATACTTGTAGAGTGGTTGTTGGGAAGACAGCCCACACCCATGAGCTTGGAGGAAGTAGGCAATAATTATGACTACATTTCTGCTTAGAACCTTCTTTATTCAGGAAAATACTTCTGACACTTTTATTAGCAAGCAAATATAAGTTTGGCAAGAGCACCTCTGAAAGTCACTGTTACAATTGTTTTTGTGAGGTCAAAGAAGGCAGAGAACATAATGGTGGTGGCTTAGTATCAGAACAATGATAAGTTGCCAGCCTTATGCCTTTCATCAAACATAACCATTGTACCCTTTGCTTCTGTTTTCTGAAGAAGGAGAATTGGACTTGATATTAATCTAGACCACATGTAGTAGCACTTGCCTTGGTAGCAGACAAGGCCCCTACCCTTACTCAAACTTGGACAAAATGGTGGCTATGTTCTCTCTGCCAGTCTTCTCATCTAGACCTTGAAGTGTCTGTATCTCCCGGGGCAAGGTTGGACCACTGGACCGGCAGCAACAGGCACGCTAGGCTGCACCACACTGGGTGCTTTCCCTGCTTCTCCTGAGGCAGACTCCACTGAGGCTGTACCCATGAGGAAGTAGCGAAGGTCATGGTGTGCCCGGTTCTCCGGCAGGGGTGGCAGGGGTCCCAACGCCACAGGACCTGCAAGCAGGGTAGCTGGAGAAGATGAAGCCACAGGGCTGTTGTCTGGTTGAGTCTGTGGTAACACAGGCAGGAGAGAGAACCGTTGCATTGGTTATCTAGCTTTCTCCTCCCAGATAAGGCCACCCATGCTTTTGGGTGGAACCACACCCAATTTTTTCTCAGCAAAAATTTCAATTTACATGGAATATGGCAGAAAAGAACTAGGTGCAAAGGATTATAAGAGATGGGTAATTGGTATATGGTAGCCCCTTCTCACCAATTGTCTTGGGAATAGTGGACTTAGACATGTCCCATGAGCAAAAGCACCCCACCTGATGGCTAATCTTCACCAGCAGTGTCACCCTCTTTGTCATCTACACCTGTAGCCACAGGGAGCTGCTGGGAAAATCTAGTCACCTAGTCTCTGCAACTCAGAAAACCTCTCCCACCCCACAAATAAAAAGTGGCTTTATCAAATGCCTACTAGGACAGTTCTACCCTATAGGTACCAGTTCTTGGGCTGGGAAGGAATGGATAAAATACCCTTCCATTTGGTGATGGTTCCACATACCCCAGTGCTATTTATCAATGTGGGTCAGGGCAGCAAATTCCCTATAATTACTAACACACTACATAAATGTCAAGGGGACATGATGGCAAATGTAACCATGACTCCCTTACCTGTGGTGGGAACACTGTACAGGTCACTGAAACTTTTTCCTGACCAGGAATCTCAGTGACTGCCCCCTTACAGAAGCCATATTGCTGCCACAGAAAGATAGAAGTTATTAGAACTGGTTCAATAGTAGATTTCTCCCTCAGTTTCATTGATAAACATGTCAAAGGAAAGAAAACAAATCCTTGAATTCTTAATTTCTTTTTTAAAAAAACACATACAGTTTTCTAAAGTTTACAGTTTCTGCTTACATAAGATATCCTATCTAATAAAAGTGTAATATATAAATTGGCCATCACTACAACACACAAGATGACCACCCAATGTGGTCAAAGATGGCCACCCCTATGTGGATACAAGATGGCCACCACAAGATGGTCCTGAGAGGTCCAGGTCTGTAGGGGAGGGCAGTAGGGGGCAACCAGGCCAGCAGGGGAGGGGAGTTAGGGATGACCAGGACTATAGGGGAGGGCAGTCAGGGGTAACCAGGTTGGCTGGGAAGGGCAGTTAGGGGTGACTGGGCCAGCAGGGGAAGACAGTTAGAGGTAACCAGGCTGGCAGGGAAAGACAGTTAGGGGTGATCAGGCCATCAGGAGAGGGCAGTTAAGGGAGGCCAGGCTGGCGGCAGTGGAGGGGGGTGCAGTTAGGGGCAATCAGGTTGACAGGGGAGCAGTTAGGGATCAATCAGGCTTGCAGGGGAGTGGTTAAGGGGTGATCAAGCTAGCAGACAGAAGCAGTTAGGGGCAATCAGGCAGGCAAGCAGGTGAGCAATTGGGAGCCAGCAGTACTGGATTCTGAGAAGGATTGGGCCTACACATGCAGTCGAACATTCCTTGAGGTGTCTCAGATTGGAAACGGTGCAGGCTGGGCTGAGGGACATATATCCTGCCTCTCCATGCATGAATTTCATGCACCAGGTCTCTAGTATAACATATAATTCTATATAAAATGCAAAAAATACAGAAACACTTTGAGTGTAGGAGAAATCCCCCATAATCCCTCAGGAGCATTTTCATTAATGTCTATGTATTTTTCTATTTTAAAATAATGATTGAATATTATTTAAAAATTTGGGTCATTGTAACTATAACATTTGATACTATGTGTTTTCACTTACTATAATATGAGAGCATTTTCTTATGATATGTCATTCATTATTTCTTGAAAACATAATTTTTAGTATCTGTATAATTTTCTATTTACTGATGTGCCATTATTTTACTCAGTCACTCTCCCCTGTTAGACATTTCAGATCTTCTATGGGTCATTATGTATGGATGGTAAATTATCTTTACAGATATATATTAATTATAGAACTAATTTATTTTAATTAAATAATGTATTTTTCAAATTGTATTTTTAATTACAGTTTATATTCAATATTATTTTTTGTATTAGTTTCATGTGTATATAGATATAGTTCTGTCAAACATCTCCAATGTTCTCATTAGGCAAAATTCCTATAAGTGGACTTTATTGGCCCAATGACTTGAAAGATTTAATACTAGGGGTATGTCTAGAAAAATCTACATTCCACAGTCCCAACAATCAGACATGATTTGGCTTAGTTAGGAACAATCTCTGTCATTTTCCTAACACCAGGGACCTTCAGCAGGTGAAATGATGTGAGGACAGCTCTTAAAGGGAGAAGGTGACACCTCAGAAGAAGGCTGGCAGCACCCAGCCCCACAGGGAGTGGTTATTTTGCACTGTGATCCCCTTTCCACAGCCCTGAGATTAATTTCCTTAGCTTGCTCTAAGGATGCTCTGTTCTACAACCAGCTTTTCCATCCCCAGGGCCTGGCCCACTTACCTTTTCTGCCAGCAAGTTACATTTGGTTGGGTCTGTGACCTCTTGAGCAGCACAGTCAGTGGCAGCCATTGCAAACTCCACATAGGTCGTACGTGATAAATACTGATGAGAGAAATGAAAATGCTCATGAGATCACACGACTTGACATGAAAAAGGCAGGGAAAGAGAGGCTGGAGAGAAGTAGCAAGGGCCCGGTCAGTGCACACTCCAGAGAGCACTTTTCACACAGACCACGGTTAGTGGCCAGAAAAGATGGTCCAATGGGGTGTAGAGGGTGGTTATTGTGGCTTCATGTTCTCCAATGTTAAATACAGAGTGTGGGGGCAGGTCTCCCCTGAAAGAGGTTTAAGGATCCACTGCCTATCATTCAGGGCAGAGTGAGTTTGCAAATAGGAAGCAGGAACCCAGTGGCCAACCTTACAATGAGCTGGGTGAGAACCCTGCCTCCCCCACCCCAGCCTTCCCTCTTAGGCTGCACTTTGAGACCCGAGGTTCCGGTAATTCCAAAATAGAGCAGGAAAGTAAAGAAATCGATTGATTCCTCTCCCATCAACTGTAGAGAGCAGGATCAAATGGAAAAAAAATAGAAATGAAAGTATAGAAGATACTTATGCTTTTCTTTTTTTATAGTTCTTATGGAACATATAGACACAATAATAAAATTCCTGATATTTGGTATAGTCTGGGGGTGAGGGTCTCCCCCCCATGAAGCACATATTCTGGTAATAGATTTCCAAATATGCCATGGCTGGTATTCAGTAAACCAGTTTCCTTAAATATTAAAATTCTGTTGCATTCAAATGTGCTAAATTATCCACAGTATAATCAGATTTTGTCAGTGATTCAAAAGGCATTTTTAGGATCCCAGCATTATACACCTATCTGTGTAAGTAGGTCCATGCCTTTATAAATATCAGTTAGGAGGGTGCTGCAGAGGGTCAGTGAGGATGGGTGATAAAGATGGGAGACCCATGAATTTCCCATGGGTGCTTCTGAACAAAGTAGGAACTCCCACCCACTGAACTGATAGCCACAGGGTTAACTAGAGTTGAGAAACTGTGGACTGAAAGCGTCTGGCTGTTTTATGTTAGAGAGACACTGAGATCCTGATGACACTCAGGGTCTTCCTACTCTCCAGGACTCTTTTCCCCATCCTCCTTGCCTTCCTGTTGCTGCCCCTGCACCTGCTCTGCCCCTCACCATGTGCATTCCCAAAGTGCCACCAAACTGCCCAATTTATCAAACAGTCTCAGTCTTACCCCAATGTTAGCCCGGGTTACTTCCACAAGCTGGAAATAGGAGCCATTAGTTTGAGTGTTGTAAGCTTTCAGAGCAGCGTCTGCAGCATGCACCACCTTGGTGTGATTAAGCGGGGCCAGCACGGGGCAGTCTGGGCACATCTTTTTCAAGTCCTCTCTGGAGTCTATGCACAGAGAGAAGGATCAGGGAGGGTTGTTATTCTCCAGGGCATTCACCCCAGCTCTTAGAAAAGGCTAAGACAGGGCCCAAGTGGCTTTAGGCGTTTTCTCTGCTTCTTTAGAAAAACAAAAAACAAAAAAATCTTTATTGTTGAAAGTATTACAGATGTCCCATTGATACTTCCCTCCTCCGACTCCCCCAAGGCCTTCGCTGCACTATTGCCTGTGTCCATGGGTTATGCATATAAGAGCTATGGTTTATCTTCTCCCATCCTCACCCTCACCCCCCACACCCACCCACCTCCACCTTCCCTCTGAGATTTGATGGTCTGTTCCATGCTTCTATGTCTCTGGACCTATTTTGTTCATCAGTTCATTTTGTTCAGTAGATTCCACATATGAGTGACATCATGTGATCCTTGTCTTTCTCTGATGGTTTATTTCGCATATTTTACATTATCTCTGCTTCTTACTAAATCTTCAGGTGGCTCCTGCCATGCTGACATTTCTGCAGGAGCCCCTCTCATCAAGGGGCAACTTTCACCTTCAACGAGAATAGCTCCCTAAAACAGTTTTACAAACCCAGAACCCAGGAAGTATGGCTTCTCCTTTTCCTCACCAACGAAGTGGCTAGAACATTGATAACAATGCAGGTTCCTTCCTCGCTCTCTCTCTCTCTACAAGGTCAAAGTAAGAAAAATCATCTCTACCTGGACTGGAATCACATTTTGCGGACAAAACAGTAAACTGGCCATCCTGTTTCAGCACCCGGAAATCACAGTCTCCTTCCACAGCCTAGAGAAATAAACCACAGTGAGGGCCTGAGAGGAGGGCTGGCCTTCACTTCTCATCCAGGGAGGGGTTGGTCCCTCAGGCATGGTTGTCAAAGGTGGGTCTCACAGAATCACCGTTTTTGGGGGGTATGGGAGAGGGTGCATATTGACACATTACACTCTCTGGTTCCAAGGAGGGCTGCAATAAGAAAGTTGAACTGTTGCAAAAATTAGCCCCAGGGAAGGAGGCTTCAAATGGCAATTTTAGAAACTGCACACTGGCTAACCATGAGGGCAGGCTGGGCAGCTGGATAGATAAAGAGGCCTGATCTATACAGAACCATGGTGGAACTGGTTGGGCCACTATCCAAAATCACCCGAAGAGGGCCACTCACGTGCTCCTCCAGTCGCCGCACAGAGCAGTTGGCCGCGGGGGTGGGGTCCAGTGCATGGCAGGTGGTTTCCAGCGTGTCTAGTTCTATCTCAAACACCTCTCCAAAGGGCCGCTGTGGAGACACAGATTGAAGAAGTGAGCAGTGTATTGCCCTGCTCCTGTTGATCAGGTCAAAGGGTGAACCCCCTTTGGGCTTGAACCCACCACCTGTTGGAGAGGTGAGGAAAGTCATTCCTACTGTGTGCATCTCCACCCAGCGCTGACCTGCCCGTGGGTGGAACCACATGCGGGCTTCCTGGTTCTCTTCCTCTATTGGCTGGGCAGGTGCTTAAGGGTGCTTACCAGGAAGAAGGGGGAGGGGGCATGGGCTTGGACAGGTGATGGAATCACAAGCATCACTTTGAGCTCTGTTTGGAAGCTAAAAGTGAAAGCTGGCACATATTTAATTTTTAAAATTTCACCCTTCAAACAATGCTTTTAAAAAGTCAGGTTTGGATTTTCCCTCAGTGAAGCAGTAACGTAAGATGCTGGAGGATGATATCTTGCTGTCTCCATCCCTCCCTTTACTTCTTTTTTCCTTTCCTCTCTTTCCTTCCTTCCCCGTTTCCTTTTTCTTCCTAAAGGACAAGTCTTTGGCTTTTGTCTTGGGCTTGTAAATGACAGATGCAAAGTTGCGCCCCTCTATTGCCCCCTGCTGGTGGTGAGGGGGAAGAGGAGCTCCTCTGACAGAGGAGGCAGTGTGTAAGTCACTAGCATAAACCAGGAGTTGTGGAGGAGGCAGTGATAGGAGAGATATAACTCGTTGGAATTGTTCTTGCCAGTTCACCTGTTTCTGTATCCTTTCTTCAAAGCCTGCAAAATCAAGAAAGTATGAATATGCCTTTTTTTTTTTAATTTCACCCCAGTTCTTCTTGCCTCTTATTGCCTCTGTTCTCTCTTACTCACTAGTACCTGAAGCCTCAGAATCTCCTCCATGGGAGAAAACTGTGTTTTATGATATGCAGATGTGCCCAAGTTAACTTCCTGAAAACATCCAGATGTGCAGGCGGTAGGAGTCGCACACTTCTGGGTTTCTCAAGGAAAATGACTCCCAAGCTCTGCCTTTAGAGAAAACCACAACGTCTGTTCATTAACTTTTCCTCACAGATGCACGTTGTGAATTGATCAGTTTCCTCTGTACATAAGTATGTTTGCAGAGCTCCTAGAATCCATCTGTGACAATTCTGATTTTAGATATTTTGTCCCAGAAGTTAGTCGGTTTAGAAATCTTGATGTTTACCTTCTTTCCCTTTCTAGATTCTAAAACTCTTGTGGGAACTATGTCTTTTCTTACCTTTGTATTGGGTTGAACCATTAAAAAGCCAATATTTGGCCCTAGCCAGTTTGGCTCAGTGGATAGAGCATCAGCCTGTAGACCAAAGGGTCCTGGGTGTGATTCCAGTAAGGGGCACATACCTCAGTTGCAGGCTCCTCCCTGGCCTGGGCCCTGGTCAGGGTGCATGCAGGAGACAACCAATTGATCTATTTATCTCACATCACTGTATCTCTCTGTCTTTCCGTCTCTCTTCCACTCTGCCTAAAAATCAATGGAAAATATCCTTGAGTGAGGATTAACAAAAAAGCCAATATTTGATTGTTTTTATTATACAAAAATGGCAATTTTGTATGATTCAACCTAATATAGCACCTGACACTGGTTCTTGCCCACAGAAGGATTGTACTCAACCTTTGCTAAAAGAATTATTCCTCATCAGATAAACAATCTAATTTCAAAATAGTCAAGAGATAGATGCCTTTTCCCCACTTCTCTAGTTCTCTCAATTGATGCCCAATTCATGTTTTCTAGCTTGACCTTTATTGTCACTGACTGCATTGGTTTCTTGCCCAGCATGTGAGGACGTAATTCTCCTTCATGCAAGCTCCTCTCTGGAATGTGGAATCTGGGAGGTAGCTTGTGTGGATGAAGGAACACAGGTCTGGAAATGAATCCCAGACCAATGCTTACTAATTATATGCCCTTGGGGGTAGGAACCCTAATTTGTCAGATCCTTGCTTTCCTCTTATGTAAGACAAAGACAATACCTACCACACCGGACTTAGGGGCGAGGGATAGAAGGGGTAAGCAGATAATATATGTGAAAGGGCCTGGCATAAAATAGGTAAGTTGTCAAATGCGAATTTCATTCACCCTGTCTTCATCCAGAAATAACTGAAGCAAAGAACAGTAAGTGATTTCCAGTCAGTGGTAATTTGGCAACTCGAACTCAGTCTCTTGCACCCTGGGTTTTCTAACAAGCCACTTTCTACCTTTGAACTTCAAATTATCCTTTTCTTCTCCTATAAATCTCCCCTACCCCCCAACCTTTTCCTTGCCAAGAACCATGACTACAGAAGAGGATGTGTCCTCTCTTGCCCTGCACCTGCCCCCTCCCTCCCTCTGGGGAAGAAATCAGAGTCTACCTCCTCTGCACTTTCCTTTTTGCTGGGAGATGTGATCTTCTGAGACACCCAGTTAAGCTCCACAAACAGGTTCTTTCAGCTCATACGAAGGAGGTTTACTTACCCGAAGCCACAAATTCACTTTTTCAATCCTGTTCAAGGCGTGCTTGTAGCCCCGAAAAAGGTTCTTGTTGAGGTAGTCCATGGCCACCATGGCTACTTGCTCTGATTCTGGGTCATCACAGTTCAGCTTTCCATAAAACGGCTCCATCATCACAGGCGGCGAGACAGCATGGCAGCCCCAGAGCTGAGCTAAGCAAAAGACCAGGATGAGGGACTTCATGGCTGCTCCAGAGAGGCCCTGGCAGGTGGACAGGTGCTAGAGGCTTCAGAAGAAACCCAGGTGCTCTCTGGGAAAGATAGACCAGTGGAGGGGCCAAGGGCTTTATTTATCTGTCAAAGCCTCCCAGTGGAATTGCATAAGGACGTGGGATGATTTTTGTTGTGGTTCCAAGAAAATTCCTACAAACATCAGCCCTGGAAAAACAAACAGGTTAGGACATTGCTGGCCCCAAGAAACCTACGAAATCAATGCTTCTGGGGATGGGCGGTGGTGGCATGAGAACATGGGAACAACAGCAAAGAGAGGAGGCTGGGGAGATGTGGTGTGCATGGAGGTGAGGGGGGCTGGCACAATCCTGGAGTACTGTGGGTTTGGCAACAGAGGAAGTGTCTTCTATTATGATTTGAGCACACACGGAGGTCTGTGAAGAGGGATGTGCAGCAATTTGATGAAATCCTCTAATGTTAGGGAGTGTTCTCTTCTAGAAGGATCCTACAGGGAGGACAAGGCCCACAGATATAGCAAGGGGTACATCTAGAGTAAGAAGGAGGAGCTATGGGAGATGCCAAGATATTAGGTAAGAACCTTGGAGGCAGGAAGGAAAGAATGAAGATGCTTCTGCCTAAAATGGGGATCAGGGAGGAGGGAATTTCCATAGCAGAGCAGGAGAGGGCTAGGGGCAGCAGAGCAAGATGGAGTTCCATATTTCCTCATCCTCTTATCTACAGACCCCATTGCCAGGGCCCTGGAGGTGACAGCACATACATCCCTGACCTCTTGGGTGGCTGGGTGTGATTGGCACCAGTGACCCTGTGTGCCCTGCAACCCAAGGTCCCACAAGTGCATAAGTGCAGCAGAGGAAGCTCTGGGCTAGCTGCCACTCACTTGGCAAAGCTCTGGGTTTGAGTCCCCCACTGCAGGCTGAGACACTGCAGGGGCCTCCAAAATGTTCTTTGAAGGCTTAGGAGAGTTTAAGTCTTTCTGGGCCATAGTAAGCTTAGGGCCACGCTGTTGGCTCCATTTTAAGGGTCCCTAAACAAAACCAGGTGTAACTTTCAAGGAGGTGAGAAGGATAGCAGGAGCCTTAGAAAATATCGTGAAGACCTGGCATGGTTTAGCCTGGAACAAAAAAGCCCTAACACAGAGACCAACGTGTTCTTCAAACAGTTAGGGGGTCATCCTTGTGTGTGGGTGGATTTGTTCTGTTGTTTGCTCTTGCTTCAGAGAACAAAACTTGGTTTTGGAAAAAGATGGGGTCATCAACAGGGGACCTCACTAATATTGATTTGCTGGGGGAGGGAAGCAGACAAGGGGGGAATGTGATGAGGCATAGGAAGTAGCTAGAAGGACGTTTCACATTTACTCACAGCTGCTCTTACACTAACACAGAATCTCAATGACAGAAGTTCAGAGGTGTGGTCAGGCCTCTGGGTTCTCTTTTAGAGGGAGATCCTGGCTTTTACAGACACAAAACCAGCTCTGGCCAAGATGATTCTCAAAGCCAGGGGTGACTTTCCAACAGCCTTTGCCCCATTTTCTGCAGGGTCTTAATTCATAAGCAACTGTTTGTGGATACAATGCTTTTTTCTTCTTCTTCTTGTTTTAAAATACAAAATATGGACGTTAGTAAAAAAAAATCTGAAAATAACAAAAATATATGCAGTGAGTGAATATTTCATGTCATAAGCTCAGGTGTGTAAAATATAACTTTATTTTTCCACCATACAATTGAGTTTTTGACGCTGAGCTCTCTTGTGAAAGTGTAATTGCTTCCATGTAACCTGTTCTTTCAGACACTTGAGTTAAAACCCAGTCCCAAGGATTGCTTGCCTCTCATGCTTCTCTCCCCTATGAGGTTCAAAGCAAGTCTGAAGTGGAGAGGGGACAACTTATACAATACCACTCTAGCCAAGGGCAGAGTGTTCTCTTGCCTAGTTAGGCTGCAAAGGCCTTAGTCACCTGTCCTTAGTCACATCCGCTTGGCATGTCCATTTGTTCTTAGTGCATCTGTCCTTGGTCACACCCACCTGGCATGTCCACCCAGGAGTTCAGGTCCTCTTGCCCCATCTAGTTCCTAGAAAAAAAGTCCTCGTGCATCCCAATCAGGAGTCCCCTTATCTCAGGACCCTTTCTAGACTACAGGCCTTCTCTCACCTACTAGTAAGTGCTACTCCCTCCTTAAACTTGGGAACATTTAGCTGCTGTGCCCACCTACGATGTGGGCATGTCATAAAGCTGTCTTCAAGCCCATCTGCCTAGACATCTCCTGCAGTCATGGCCCACCACTGCTTTGATGCCACCTGCTACTCAGCGAGCTTCTCCCTATGGTGTGATGTCTCCCTATGCTGAGTGTCCCTTTACCTCCCCCATCCTGTGGTGAGGCCCCAGCCCCCTCTGCTCTGGGATTCCACACTGTTCTTGGGGTGGTTCTATTGCCATCCCAACCTGAGGGTGGAGAGAGGAAGTAAAGTCCTATTTGATCATCCTTTCTGACGACTTATGTATTGTACTGGGATCATTTATTTTGGAATCTTTGCTCTTGGATCGTCCATGGGTGACAATTTCTAAAGCACTAGGTATTGTCCTCTTTTGCTGATGCCATGAAAACAAAAAGCAAGCTATAAATCACCTATTATTCTATCACCTATAAACAGAAAAACAAACTCATCCACAATCTCATCACCAGAGATAAACAGGGTTTATGGTTTGAGTGCATTTTCATTTTTTCTTTTTCCTTTGTGAGGGGTTATTTTAATGGAATTTAAATCATATTGTATTTACAACTTGAGTTTCTCCTTTTTTATTTAATATTATAACTGTGTTAGACTTGAAAACATGCTTATAATGACTGTCTGTGTATCATTATATATTTAACTATTATCTTACTGTTGGACATTTAGTTCGTTATTAAGCAATCACTATCATATTCAAAAGCTTCAATTACTTTCTTTTGCCCCTTTGGGAATCTTTGGCTTTCTAGTTATTCTTTCAGGATAGATTCTTATTAGTGAAATAATTTTTTTCAAATGATTTGAATATTTTAAAGCTCTTAATTTCTCTGGCCAAACTGCCTATCAGAAAGGCTATGCCAGTGATAGCCTTGCCATTGAACTGGTGTGCTACGAATGTCCAGTCAGATGTTTTCCATTTCCCTCTGCTACTGTTTCCATCCTGACTTTTGTGGGAACTTAGATATAGGGAAGCATCCAAACTCTTTTAAAATGGTATTTGTTAATATCTTTGGATTTATCCCAAATACCACATAGTCTAATTCTTATAAACTGAAATAACTTTGGTGTCAAGCTAAATAAAATGGTCCCTCATTTAAATTTTTTTCAGTTTCCTTAGAAAGAAATGTTACCATTTACTTACTGACAGTGAAGAAGAGTATCCTATATATTAAAAGGCTAATATGCAAATTATCCCCTGGACCAGGATTTGGACTGGGAGTTCAACCAGAAGGTGGGGTCGGCCAGCCAACTGCCCACGGCCCCTCCCTCCCAGCCAGCCCAACCAGATAGGCCCTAATCCAGGTGGGCTGGCCAGATCCCACCCATGCACAAATTTGTGCATCAGGCCTCTAGTAGATAATATTTTGGTATGTTTCCCAAAAGAGCTGTAGCAAAGAGTGCCAGGGGAAGCTAGAGGTACCAATTCCAAACTATGACAGATTTTCACATGCCAAATGCCTAGATCATACACTTATGAGTGCTCCATTCTCTTCCCCTCTCTCTTTCCTCCTCCAGCTCCAGTTCCTTTACATGCCAGTAGCAGATAGGCATTTACTTCTCTTTCTGGTCATTTGTTTCATTATGATAATTACTTATTGGTGTAATCTTCTATGTGTTCTACCTCACAGTATTAAAATAATACTCTTCCCAACCATACTAACTGTGTCTGATAGAGTATGGAGGATATCAGGGGCTTTGAGAGCAGGTTGAGAAGAGCAGGTCCAAGGTCTAAAAAGCAGAAGAGAATCAACTGCCTCCTGGAGGGTAGAGCAGGGTGCTGGGTGGCACTTGCTGGGCGGAACCCCAGGTGTGTGCTGACGGTGGAGATCTCAAGATGGCAGCTGTGGTTGCACCAGGTCTCTGAATCTGTCGGTAGAGCTCTTCACTAGGCGAGCAATGCATCCAAACTGTTCCCAGGCAGCATTCAGCGTGTGTGCTTGCCAGTCAGGAGGCAGGACAGGAAGGGTCCAAGGAAGCTTGGAGTCAGAGTAGCTGAGGTCATTTCTGCTGAGGCCGTGCCAGTGGAAATGGGTCTCCAGGCATAGGATAGGTCTAGAACAGGGTGAGAATCACTCCAAGCAGCGAGGACTGAGGAGAGAGCTAGAACCCAGCCTCTCACAAAACAGGACATGGACAAGTGCATGTCAGCAAAAGCCAGAGGAACAATTGGTTTTTGCAAAGAGGAAGTGGCAGTGGTTGGTATTTAAACCATTGGGACAGATTCCTGGCTCTGCCAGTTCTGGTGTTTAAAGGGCCTAGATCCTGAGAGGCCAAGGATTAATTTCTGGTAAGTGTGGTATTTCTTCATGTATATGGGCATTTATAAAACACCTACTACCCGTGATGTTGGGTGCCTGAATGCAGAGAAGACACCATTTTCCGTGAAGGAACTCATCTTGACTCATCTGGTCGAATGACATTGAATTAACCAAGAACTATAAATTATACAAAATTTTAATATTTGTCCTGTGGAGAAGGACTGGGATTTATTTCTCCAGTGTAAAGCATCACTTAATGGAATGTAGGTTACCCTTGTCCGAAGACCTGTCAGATTTCCTGAGAAGGTAACTTAGCACCAACTGCGCTGATCTAATTCAGAGGAGCCCTTTGTATTCAATGCCAATGCACTAAAGTTGGGAGATGCAAGCCAAAGCATATTGCGGTAAAAATTATTAAAGCACAGTGACCAGAGGTGACTACTCTCTTTCTCTGGGTGGAGAAAGGGCTCTGCAAGCTTTCTCCCAATACTGCCCTCATAGCCATGACTTA